TGGAGACAGAATTACTCTGATAGAAGTATTTGTAATAAAAGATGAAGTTGGCCCAAAAAAGTTGTTGGAATAGATGGGATTCAGGTCCTTAGTGATGTACAGTGTATTGCAAATTGGTTTGTATTTGAGCAGCTTAATATGGGTGGGAATCTGTTTTTTGAAGCACTTGAAGGTCATTTGAACAGGGGAAGGCAAAAACCAAATGTACTAGTAGTCCAAGTGATGGTGAACACTTAAGGATCAAGAATGTATTGGGGGAGGGAGCTACTGGCTGGCTCAGTCGGTAGAACACGTGGTTCAGTCTCAGGGTCGGGAGTTCAAGCCCCGTGTTGGGCATGGAGCCTACTTTTAAATGTATTTGGGGCCAGGGTGATGGAGGCGGCATGGGCACCCTTCCTCCCCCTTCGGTTTCTTTGCTGGCCTCCATTACTCCACTTTGCTGCAGGCTCCTACCACCAATTAACAGACGGTCAGGCTAAGACCTCTTTAAGAAGTTAACAAAAGTAAGGACTGCTCTGTTTCGGGGGTCAAACATGAAGTGTTGGCAATCATGATTTAACCTAAGGAAAGTACTTAATTCAGCTTGTTTCACTTGGAGTTCTCTGCAGTATGAGAACAGTTTGTTTTTTTTTAGCATTGTAAAATACTTGTTTCTGGATAGTTGACCATTTTGATCTCAGAGCAGCATGCCTAAATTTTTAGGGCAGAATTTTGAAGCATAATAAACCATATTGGTTTGGGAGGTGGGAAAGAGGAAGGGGAGCCTGAGTTTAGTCAAAAGTGGAAAGAGGTTATGTTAGGATGGCTAGATTGACAAGAACGTGGCCCAAGGTGACAGTGAAACTGGATTCTAAGAATGGTTCAAGGTCCTTTTTATGTAAATTAAGAGTGAACACAAGCCATCTGGGGGTACTGTCTAAATTCTTGAGATTATTTCTAGTCTAGCAGGGTTAAGATAATACAAGTTTACTTGCATACTATGTTAATTTTTGTAGTATAGCTTTTGTAATTTAAATGATATGTTTAAATACAAAATACTAGCCATTCTCCCTCCCCCTCCTCCCCGCTCCACCCACTGTTAATGTTTCCTGGGTTTGTTCTTAACCACCTCTTGGCTGAATTTCAACACCAGATAATTTTTTTCTACAATGACTTAGAGGGGCCATGTTTGAAAATGTTCAATGTCTTTGCTTAAAATGGTATGTTTCTTTTATCATGGGTGGCTGTTTCCCTTGCCTCTATGCTCCTAAGTGACCTGGTTGAATGGTCACAGGCTTGTTCTCTTTGAAGCTCAGTAACTAAGCTACCTGGGTGTTGACACTGGTCTTAGCTGCTTTCCCACTGGAATGCAGAGGTTCCATTCACTGCATTTTAGGAATATCGGGTTTTTTTCTCTTCTCATTGAACACTATTCCCGATATGTTGAAACCTGTTTTGTTCCAGATCTTGTCCTCATTTCAGTTGATCTACTTTTCAGCATGTTCAGTCTGTTTCTCATGTGGTTTCCTCTATAATGGCTATTCTCCATTTCTTGCCTCGTTTTCATTGTTGATCAGTTTTTCCTACCTATACCTGACTGGGTTGTCTTCAGGGTAATTCTGAAATAGGATTATTTTAACACAGGGCACTATGTTTAATTATAGTGTGGAAGAATATTTCATGACCTGCAAACATGTTTATTATGGGAGAAAACACCATAAAACAGATGAACACATCTACTGTAAGAGAAGCAGAAGTCTCAAAACAGGTGTTAAATGTAGAATTATCATATGACTGCAATTTTACTCCTAGGAGAATTCTATCCAGGAGAAATGAAAACAAGCTTACAATTAGGTTTGCATGCAAATGTTCATAGCATTCACAATACCAAAAAGTGGAAACCACCCAAATGCCAATCAGCTGGCGGATGGACAAACAAAATGTGTATACGTGGAATGGAATGCTGTTTGGCCTTAGAAAGGAGGAAGTACTGATGCTATCTCTATCCTCTAGGGACATGACCACATCTCTAATTTCCTTTCCACTCTTCAAAGGATCATTAGGAGGGCCTGTTAGTACTGTGACACATGTCTGTATTCTGACTTAAGGTTTTCTGTGGATGTCTGTACGGTTTCAGTCCTGATTTTATTGTGTTAGCAGATCTAGTCATGGTTTATAATTTGAGGGTTCCTGTTTTCCTTGTTACACTGAAGAGGACATTTTACTTTTTTTTAAAGTAGGTTCCACGCCCAGAGTGGGGCTTGAACTCAACGACACTGAGATCAAGTGTGGCGCCCTGACATTTTACTTTTTTAAGAGCTCAGTGGAGTAAAAATGCCTCTCCCATCTTTGGAAGAAAGAGGAAATCCTCATTCTTCCTTTTCCACTCTTAATTCTACACCACACTCACCTAGATTTTCAACAGCCCATCTCATTTACCTGACATCAGTTGGTTAGTTGGTTGCAGAATGGTCTCTGAACCTCCACTTCTGACCCAGTCACCTGATAGGATCCTAGTGGGTTATCTAGTAGACATTTGGATGGCCAAGGTTGATTTAGGGATCATTCAAAAACTGATTTGGGGTCTGCTGAGTGTTGGGGAATGTAGTGATGACTTCAAATGTAGTCCTTGTCCTCTTGGAACCTAGTTTTTCTTTTGTGATTCCCCAACTTGATGTTGCAACCGGAGAATCTGGGAAATGATTCTATGGCAACTCCTAATAGAATCCATCCCTGGAGTTCACTCAGGAATCTCTTGCTTTTTGCTTTTGTATGTAATTTCCCCAGGCAATTCTGATGCAGCAAACTTAGGTATGGAATCTGCTGTTCTCTACCCTTTATCATCTGTTCCAAAACTTCCAATTACCATGATCATGTTTCAGGTACTTCATGGCAGAATCATCTCTATATTCCAAATTACAGTAGATACTGCAACCAAATTAATGGCGCTCCATTAAGTTGGTCCAACGGTGTGGCACACCAGTCTACCTTGGCAGCTTTTAACTTCTTCCCTATACCTTATACTGTAGCTGAATATGATGCTATTGTGAAGACATATCCTCCACTCTGCCAGAGTTTTTGTTCACCCTGTTCCTTCTGACTAGAACTGGAGCTGAATTAATATTTAATTTTATATATTGTACTCAGAATATTAAGCCGCCATTTACAATTAGCGATGTAGAGAAAATAATTGCTCTAATGGGTTGAGGAAGTAGTAGGTTTAAACTTGGAGTGTGCAGAATGAGCTCAACTCTTTGGAGAATGTGTAGAAAACTAGAAGGAAATCTGCAAAAATAGTGACAATTCTTGCTTCTGATTGAAGCAGAAAGATTTTCTGCTGCTTCATACTTTTCCTGTACTGAACGAGTTTTATACAATTATATCTTCAATAAAACTTGTTTTTTTAGTCTGAAATGATAAATTCACAGGAAGTTGTGAAGTGTAGTACAAAGAGATCATGTGTACCTTTCACACGGTTTCCCCTCTTGGTAAAGTCTGGCATAACTAATACATCAAAACCAGGAAATTGACATTGGTACAATCCACAGACTTCCTTCAGATTTCACCAGTTTTTATGTGTACCTGTGTGTGTGTGTGTGTAGTTCTATGCAGTTTTATCACATGTTGATTCATATAACCACCTCCACAGAACTGTTCCACTGCCAAGGTCTCCCTAGTGCTACCTCTTTATAGTCACACCTGCCTCCCTTCTTGCTTCCCCACCCTGTCACCCCTGGCAACCGCTTATCGGTTTTCCATCTCTAAAATGTCATTTCAGAATTGTTAACATAAATGGAATTGTGCCGTATGTGACCTTTTGAGATTGGCTTTTTGTCACTCAGCATAATGTCCTTGAGAGCCATTCAAGTTGTTGCAAATAGTTGGTTTCTTTATTGCTGACTGGTATGGATGTTCCATAGTTTGTTTATTCAGCTGGTGAAGGATATTTGGCTTGTTGCCAGTTTTTGACTATTACTAATCAAGGTTGCTATGAACATTGAACATTCTTGTACAGATTTTTGTGTGGACATGAATTTTTGTTTTTCTGGCAGAAATGCAATTGGTGGATCATATGGTGAGTGTATTGTTTAGTTTAAGAACCTGCCAAACCATTTTCCAGGATGGCTGTACCATTTTGCATTCCCACCAGCAATGCACAAGAGATCCAGTTTCTCTGCATCCTCACCAGCATTTGGTATTGGCATATTTTACTTTGGCTGTTCTAATTGGTGTGAGGTGGTGTCTCCTTGTGGTCTTAATTTGCATTTCCCTAATGGCTAGTGATGTTGAGCATCTTTTCATGTGCTTGTTTGCCATCTTTATATTCTCTTTGGTAAAATATATGTGTCTTTTGCCCATTTTAAAATAATTGTTTTTCACTGCTGAGGTTTTTAAAAAATTATTGAAGTATAGTTGACATATGATGTTACATTAGTTTCAGAGATTTGACAATTCTGTACGTGACATGGTGCTCACCACAGTAAGTGTAGCTACCATTGTCACCAAAGTTATTGCAACATTATTGACTATATTCCCTATGCTGTACTTTTCATCCCCATGATTTATTTCATAGCTCTAAGTTTGCACCTCTTAATCCCCATCACCTATTGCCTCCATCCCCCCAACTCCCTCCCCTCTGGAAACCACCAGTTTGTTCTCCGTATGTATAAGTCTGTTTCTGTTTGTTCATTTATTTTGTACTGTTGAGTTTTGAGAGTTCTCTATATATTCTAGGTACCAGTCCTTTGTCAGATGTATGACTTAACAAATATCTTTTCCCAGTCTATAGCTTGTCTATCTTTTTATTATTATTTTAATTCCAGTGTAGTTAACATACAGTGTTCTATTAGTTTCAGGTGTACAATACAGTGATTCAACAATTCCAGTGTTCAACAAGATAAGTGTGTTCCTAGGGCGCCTGGCTGGCTCAGTAAGAAGAGCATGTGACTCTTAATCTCAGGGTTGTGAGTTTGAGCTTCATGTTGGATGTAGAGATTACTTAAATAAAAAAAAGGTAAGTTACTCATAATCCCTATCACCTATTTCACCCATCCCCCTACCCACCTCCTCTCTGGCAATCCTCTGTTCTCCATAGTTAAGAGTCTGTTATTTGAGGGGTGCCTGGGTGGCTTAGCCAGTTGGGCATCTGACTCTTGATCTCAGCTCAGATCTTGATCTCAGGGTCTTGATCTCAGGCCCATGGTGGGCTCCATGCTAGGTGTGGAGCCTACTTAAAAAAAAAAAAGTCTGTTATTTGGTTTGTCTCTCTCCTTTTTTCCCTTTGTTTGTTTTGCTTTTTTAAATTTCACATATGAGTGAAATGATATGGTATTTGTCTTTCTCTGGCTTATTTCAGTTAGCGTTATACTCTCTAGATCATCCACATTGTTGCAAATGGCAAGATTTCATTCTTTTTTATGATTGAATAATATCCCATTGTATATATATATATATACATACCACATCCTCTTTATCCACTCATCCATCAGTGGACACGTAGGCTGCTAATTTTTCTTCTTAACAGGGTCTTTTGCAATCATTTTTAGTTTTTTAAAAACATTTTCAATTTTGATGCAGTCCAATTATCAATATTTCCTTTTGTGGATGGTGCTTTTGGTGTCATGTCTAAGAACACTTCACCTAGCCCTAGGTCCTAAAGATTTTCTATTTTTTCTAATTTATAATTTTACATTTAAATCTATGATCCATTTTGAGTCCATTTTTAAGGTGTGAGGTTTAGGTTAAGGTTGACCTTTTGTTTATTCTTTTATTTTTTAAAGATTTTATTTATTCATTTGAGACAGAGAGATACAGAGAGAGAGCGAGAGCATGAGCAGGGGAGAGGCAGAGGGCGAGGGAGAAGGAGGCTCCCCGCCGAGCCAGGAGCCAGACGTGGGGCCTGATCCCAGGACCCTGGGATCATGACCTGAGCCGAAGGCAGATGCTTAACCATCTGAGCCACCCAGGCGCCCCAAGGTTGACCTTTTAATCTATGGATGTTCAATTGCTGTAGCACTATTTGTTGAAAAGACTCTCCTTCCTCTGTTGAAATGCCTTTGCAACTTTGTCAAGACTCAGTTGACCATCCTTGTGTGGGTCTATATTGGGTTCTCTTCTGTTTCATTGATCTATGTGTCTGTCCCTCCACCGACACCACACTGTTTCCATTACTTCTAGCTATATAGTAAGAATGAAAACTGGGTAGAGTGATTCTTCCCACTTCATTCTTTTTCAAATTTGTTTTAGTTATTCTAGTTCCTTTGTCTTTTCACATAAATTTTAGAATAAGTTTTTTTTTTTTTAAGTAATCTCTATGCCCAGCGTGGGGCTTGAACTCATGACCCCGAGATCAAGAGTCTCATGCTCTACTGATTGAGCCAGCCAGGCGCCCCTAGAATAAGCTTTTCCTTACAAAAAAATCTTGCTGGGATTTTGATAGTAATTGTGCTGAAGCTATAGATCAATTTGGAGGAGAATTGACATCTTTATTATGTTGAGTCTAAAATATATTTTTAAGTTGTGAACTCAGAATATCCAGTCAACAGGAAAAATCATCTGCTACTTCCTATCTGGAGCACTCCTATTTATTCATCCTAGGATCATGCTCCTTGTTTGGAGCATGTCCATGGAGCAGGTGTCTCCATGAAATGCCACATTTTGTGAAGGAAGTTCACGTAGGAATATATATATGAAGGAGTCCAGCTGGGTCTCATGGCAGCCTAGATATTTCAGAGCAACGCTCCTGCTGAAGGCAACCATAAAAACACACGTAAATTTAATGCAGGCATTCCTCTTCTGATCCAGTAAGCACCTTCCGGAAGGGTTCTTGTTAGGAAGAGACAGAGGCTTCCTGAAAATCAAGTCAGTAACTGCCTGTGCAGAAAATGCAATATTCAGTTCATCTCAAACTTGTAAGTTAGACCTTTTCGGTTTCATCTTCTTAAAACTCATCATTGGGAGAGTACTTGGGAGTCTTACTTGAATATTAATTCTCAGCACGCACTGAACTTAATGACCATAATGTCCCAGAATTTTAATAACAAAGTTTTAATGTCTGTTTTCATCAGGGAACTGTGTCCTTGGTTTGTACTGTGGTGACTTCCTGTAGAAGGTTCTTTAATTGGCATACACTTAGGCAAAGCCGCCTTTTCCACAAGGGGCACGGAAGCTTCCGTGTGCAGTTTGCGAGTCTGTTTATTCCGTGGATTTCTATGAGATCTACAATGTTAACAGTATTCCTTGTAATAGGACCTGTGGGATGATTTATTTTGGGTGTCAGTGTCACAGATAGGCTTTGTTTCTAAGGACATATTTTCACTTGGACCCACTCCTAGGAATGAGGTCTGGGGCATTTATTAACCATACCCCCGGTTGAATCTCAGCCTACTCATTTCTCTCTTCTGACTTCTTTCATTGTATAAATATACAAAGTGAAACTTAATGCTTTCATTCCAGGAAGGAATATCTGGAGATGGGAATTCAGCTTTAACAATGATAATAAAAAAAAAAAAGACGGTGTGCAATTCAATTTTGACAGCGCAGCAACCTGGGTAATCCTATTTATTTCCTGCTTTGGAGTTGGGTGGGATACAACTCCAGAGGTTTTATCTAATTCTGTAGGGCAGTAGGGTTTATATTCCTGTCTGTGGCTTTCCAAAAACTAGCTTAACCACACTGGATGGCCCCTATGATTGTGTTCCCTGCTGGGAGAGAGCCAACAACTAATGATTAGATTTGTTGTGACTGGTAGAGTCAATAGGTGGACACAGCTATAGGTTTGCATGTTTTCGTGATCAAGTAGCCAAAGCAAAGGTGTTTCTTAGAGGCATTTAGTACCAGAAGATCAGGACGTATTTGCTAACAGCTCTGTGGAAAACCCTAAGTAAAGAGAGGAACCGGCATCACCCCTGGCCAGATTCATACTTGGTGTTCTCTTAGATGCTTTCCATTACGTCCTCGTGGAGGGAGTATGGCGTGCTCTTGTTTAAGGCCTGACCGTCCGGCTGTGCCTTTCTCAACCACTTAGCGCTGTGGTGGCGTCTCACCTATGAATGTAATGGATCATCTGTATTTCCCTCTCTTCTGGATCATTCCCTTAACGTCACCCATCTCAAAGCCCCGGCTTGATCTCATGTCTCTCTCTCCAGCTTGCACTTCCACCCATGTCCATTGCTTTCAATACCATGTCTTTTAATATTTTACCTAAAGAACACATTGACTTATTTGCAGAATCACACTATATGTGAAGTTATACAGTGAAGTCTTATTCCCACCTTGCCCCCATCCCAACCAGTAACCACATATTACTTACTTGTCTATACTTCTAGAGTGTCTTTATGCAAAGGGAAGCATCTATGAATATATTTTCTCCTCGTTTTACATGAACACTAGCATACTACAGGGCGCCTGGCTGGCTCAGTCGGTAGTGCGTGTGACTCTTGATCTCAGGGTCGTGAGTTCAAGCCCCACGTTGGGCACAGAGTTTGCTTAGAAAAAAAAGCACACTATATTGTTCCATACCTTTTTTCTAAACAATTTATAATGGAAAATTTTGCATGTCAATACAGAGAGTCCATTCTTTTTTACAATTGTGTACTCAAAATATGCTTATTGTGTGGCTATACCATAATTAAGCAACTATCCTATTGATGGGTTGTTTTCTATCATTTCCTATTTCTAGTAATACTGCAATGAATGATTAACTTCGTACACATAAGTATATTCATTGAAATTTGGGTACATATGGTCAAGTTCCCCACAGGCGTTGTATCAATTTGCACTGCCACCAGCAAGGTACAAGAGTGCTTCTTGGGGCGCCTGGGTGGCTCAGTTGGTTAAGCAGCTGCCTTCAGCTCAGGTCATGATCCCAGGGTCCTGGGATCGAGTCCCGCATCGGGCTCCCTGCTCAGCGGGAAGCCTGCTTCTCCCTCTCCCTCTGTCTGCCGCTCTGCCTACTTATGCTCTCTCTCTCTCTCTCTCTCTCTGTTAAATAAATAAATAAATAAATAAATCTTTAAAAAAAAAAAAGTGCTTCTTTTTCCATAGTTTTGTCTATGAGTGTGTTGGCAAACTTGTGTTTTGGCTAATGTAATTGATCCTGTTTTGTTTTGTTTTTTTTAACCTGGATAGTTTTAATTTATAGTTCTCTTCTGAGTGAGCTCAAACACCTTCCCATTATTTAAGAGGCTATTTGTATTTCTTTTTCTGTTATCTATCCCAGTGATCTTTGGCCGATTTTTCTTTTGTGTTATTGATCTATTTCTTGTGTTTGATTTGTAGGTGCTCCTCTATATTAGGAAGATTAGATCTTTGTTATAGTTGTAGCCAAATTGTTTTTGTTTTTGTTTTGGGGTTTTTGGTTTTTTTTTTACATTTGGCCATTCGTGTTTTCATATTGCTTATGGTGTTTTGGTTTTTGACAATACAGAGGGTTTTTAAAAATTGTTTTGTTTTGTTTTTTAAAGATTTTATTTATTTATTTGACAGAGAGAGACACAGCGAGAGAGGGAACACAAGCGGGGGGAGTGGGAGAGGGAGAAGCAGACTCCCTGTTGAGCAGGGAGCCCGACGCGGGACTCGATCCCAGGACTCTGGGATCATGACCTGAGCTGAAGGCAGTCGCTTAACCAACTGAGCCACCCAGGCGCCCTAAAAATTGTTTTTTATTAACTAATCTCTATGCCCAATGTGGGGGTCGAACTCAAAATCCCAAGATCAAGAGTCGCATGCTCCACTGACGGAGTCAGCCAGGCGCCCCTTGCTTATTTCTTAAAAACAACATTTACAGTCCGTTTGTCTAGCTTTAAAAATTTGTCAGGTCGTTTTGGAATGGTGTTGATTTACAAAGTAACAGGGATAATTGACATTTATGATGGCTCTGTTCAGGTTGTCTTTTTGTAACTTCAGTAATGTTTTTAAAGTTTTCTCTGTATAATTTTTGCACATTTCATGTGAAGTTTATTCCTATGTATTTTATGTTATCTGTTGCTATTATAAATGAGCAATCTTCTTCCATTATATTTTCTAGCTGGTAATTATATATAGGAAAGCTGTTGATTTCTGCATATCTTATTTTCTGCTACCTTACTGAATTCTTACATTGTTTATAGTAATTTCTCAGTTGAGTCTCCTGGTTTTTCCAGGTATACATGTACAAATAATAATAGTTTTACTTCCTCCTTTCCAATTATTAGACCTCGAATTGGGGGAGGGCAGCACCAGCCAGGTTATGTTTCTTTCTTTTCTTTTTTTCCATTGCAGAAATGGTACTATTGATGAAAGATAAACTATATTATATACTATATAAAAGATATACTATGTTAAAGGTATAAAAGATGAACTATATTAAAGATATAAAGATATACTGAAATCACTCAAATAATACATAAAGTAATTTTATCTGTTCCTTAAATCTACACTGTTAGACCTCTAATCCATTTTTCTTGTCCAGTTGCCTCAGTTAAAATGAGAATTGTGAATTCTTCCGGTGTTTGCCATTAAGCATGATGCTAGAATATTATTACCTAAGGGTATCAGTCTGTTCATATTTTGAATTTTTATCAAGAATGGGTGTCGAGCTTGTCACATGCCTTTTCAGCCTCTGCAGAAATGATTATATGTATTTTTCTCCCCAGATTTATTAATATACTTAATATATAAATATACTTAAATATACTCCTTAGATTAATTAATCCCCATAGATTTATTAATATTAATATATTTTATTATATTAATAGAATTAATAATATAGCAATGTATTAATATCAATATACTTAAATTTATATTAAAATACAAATTAATATAAATATACATAAAATTTAATAGACTTTATAATATTCAAATAATGGGGTACTCTCCACCATCTGAACTAAAGAACAGGTGATGGAAAACAGTAGCTACTTGTATCTTCTCCTTCCCTTTCCCTGACCTCTCCTGGGTCCTTTCCCCATTTCATTAAATGGCTAGATCATTCACCTACTCACTCAGGTCAAAGGCTTAGAGGTCATTCCTTTTTTTCTCTTTCTCTCATACCCTTCATCAACAAATCTCAGACGTTCTACTTCCAAACCTGGTCACTTCACCATCCCCGCTGCTTAAGTCCAAGTTAACTTCCTTTCTTTCTTGAACTACTTTAACAGTCTCCTCAACTGGCCTCCCTGCCTCCATTATGCCTTATAAGACTACCTGACTTGATTCCTCCCCGCATCCACTGTGTCCTTCTCATACCAGCCTCCTTTCCCTCCCTTAACTGTGCCAAGTTCCTCCTTTCTGCTAGAACTTCCTTTCTTCTCACGGCGGTCTCCTGCTCATTCAGGTCTCGACCCAAATGTCATCTCTTCAGAGAGGCCCTTCCCGACATTCTTAGCTAACTGCTCTAATTATGAAGTACCAAGGAAGCCCTTAAGGAAAGATGTGCAGCTTCTGACAGGGCCCTGAGCCAGTCTCTTGCCTAAAAAAGGTGGAGCAAGAGCTGCTGAGGCTGATGACTCTTCCTTGTCCACCTCCTTTCCAGCTTATGAGGGCCAGCTTACAGAGGGCTGGGTTTCCACTCTCTCCCGGCCACTAGATGTGCTTCCCTTGATGCTCCTATACCAAGGGCCATCCTCCCCTACTGTCTTCCTGCCGTGAAAGGATCTATAGCGCCAAACCACATTTACTCCCTAAAAGTAAGATGCTGTCTATTCATGAGCAAGAGAATGCCACCTTACTGACGGTGACCTTCAGCAAGTGACTTAACCTCTGAGTCATGGTTTTCGATGACAGTATCCGCCTTATACACTTTTGGTGACCATTGAGGGAGGATGTATTTAAAGGGCCATTGTGGGGCACCTGGGTGGCTCAGTTGTTGGGCATCTGCCTTCGGCTCAGGTCATGATCCCGGCGTCCTGGGATCGGGCCCTGCATTGGGCTCCCTGCTCAGCGGGAAGCCTGCTTCTCCCTCTCCCATTCTCCCTGCTTGTGTTCCCTCTCTTGCTGTGTCTCTGTGTTTCATTGTAACATCTCTCGTACTGTCACCTAAGGTTGGCTCGTTGTTTCTGAACATGGCTCTTGTCTGCTGTTCCTTCCCTTCCTGCTGCCTTCAGCCTGGGCCCTGGACATAGCTCCCTCTCTGTCTTTATTCTCTCCCTGTCTGTGACAGATAACTCCTTTCTGGTCTCCCTTCCGAACAGAACTCCAATTTGGTTCAGGATGGACATGCCTCTCTAAGAGTTCTAGGCTTCTCAGCACCCCCTTCCTCTAGGGTAGTCTTGTCTTCCAATTCTGGTCAATATGTAGGTAGAAGTCCGTGGGATGGGTGGGTGTCCCTTCCCAAGCAAAACCCCTGGGATGGACAGGTGTCCCTTCCCAAGCAAAACCTTGTAAGAAAACTTTTGGATCTGCTATTTTTTCTCTCCTAGAACTTGGAGCCTCGCACCCAGCGGGGCAGGAACTTCTCTGTGACCAGAAAGACTAAAACCATATGCTGACCATAGTGGAGTAGAAAGATGAGCAAACCTACATCATGGATGGCCCAGTGAAACCAGTACCCCAGCCTGAGCTGTCTTCCCCTGCGCCTCTCCTACCATAAGAAAAATAAACCCCTGTGCCTCTCACTTTCTTTCCTTTGGGCTGTTTATTCTTATAATCTTTGGCAGGTTGAATTTTTTTCTAAATAAAATATTGGGAAGCAAACGAACCCACAAAGCTAGTGGGAAAGGGCAGTTCCAATCTGTCATGATACATAAATATTTTTACATATATTTTCCATCATATGAGATATTATCTGCATGACTGCTTGGCAAATACGAAATTTCTTGTTTTACAACTCCTAACTGTATATTTTATTTTATTTTAATTTTTAAAAAAGATTTTATTTATTTATTTGACAGAGACACAGAGAGAGAGGGAACACAAGCAGGGGGAGTGGGAGAGGGAGAGGGAGAAGCAGACTTCCCACCGAGCAGGGAGCCCGATGCGGGGCTCGATCCCAGGACCCTGGGATCACGACCTGAGCCGAAGGCAGATGTCCAACGACTGAGCCACCCTGTATATTTTATTTTTACTGTTAAAAAGGAGAACACACACACACACATACACACTCAGGAAAATGGAGAGCACTGGGCTGTGGGGACACTGCGTTGTCATAGCGTCACTATGATGGAGGTGAGCCCACCACACAGAAACATCGAGAACCAGTGATTTACCAGTAACTACCACCGCTCTTGATTTTCAGTTTTCTTGGTGAGCTGAGTTCTTGTGAGCACCTGACGCTGAGGAATTGTCTGGCATCTGCTTCCAAATCATCGAGGGGCAGAAGTGGGTCAGGGTACAGACGAAATGAGATTGTCCAATCAGTTGACAGTTGTCGAAGTTGGATGGTGGGTATATCTTTAAAAAAATATTCCCTGAGGGTGGATGCCCAGGATTGGGTTAGGGATCAGAGGATGGGCTCATTTATGACTTTTTTTTTTTTAATTTTATTTATCTGACAGAGAGAGAGAGAGCACAAGCAGGGGGAGTGGCAGGCAGAGGGAGAGGGAGAAGCAGGTTTCCCGCCGAGCAGGGAGCCCGATGCGGGTTCGATCCCAGGACCCTGGGGTTCATGACCCGAGCCAAAGGCAGATGCTTAACTGACTGAGCCACCCAGGTGCCCCTTAAATATTGGTTTTGCTTGGTTTTGAGCTTTCTTTGCTCTGTAATATTCCATTTCATGAATAGCACAATGTACTGGATCCATTCTCTCATTGCTGGACATTTAGGCCATTTTCTAGTATTTTGCTCTTGAGAACAATTGCAGAGCGAGCTTTGGGGTTCTAGAATTTTCAAAAAAACAAAAGTAGAGAAGGAGTGGTATGATGAATCCCCATGGAGCCACAAGTAGCTTCAACTATTATCAACACTGCAATGCAAGTGTTTTTAATGCAACATTAGAATCTCTGGGGGCACCTTTGCTAAGCATATGGGTTCCAGCTCAATCCCCAGAGATCCCACATCGCATTTAGTTATGTCACTATTCGCCAAACTATGGACCTAATCCCAATGTCACCAGTGTTTTCACAAATGTTCTTGATCTGTTTCAGGATCCAACCTGCGATTCCACATTGCATGTGGCTATTAATGTCTCCTGGTGTCTTCCAGTCTCTGACACCTCTTCTTTTTTATTTTTAAGATTTTATTTATTTTTCAGAGAAAGAGAGCACAAGCAGGGGGAGCAGCAGAGGCAGAGGGAGAAGCAGGCTCCCTGCTGAGCAGGGGGCCCAATGCGGGGACTCGATCCCAGGACCCCAGGATCATGACCTGAGCTGAAGGCAGATGCTTCACCGACTGAGCCATCCAGGCATCCCATCTCTGACACTTCTTCATTCTTGTCTTTATTCCACATTCGTGAAATGTCCCGGTCATGTACCTTGTGGGGTGTCCCTTGATTTGGGTTTATCTGATGTTTTCTCCTGATTAGATTGAGGTTATGCATTTGGGGCAAGAATACCATGGAAATGATGTCGTGCCCCTCTCATCTCATCACGGGGTTATGGATGCCAGTGTGTCTTATTCCTGGCAATGTTACCACTGATCATTGGTTAAGATGGTTTCTGCTGTGTTTCTCCACTGTAAAATTACTGTGCTCCCATTGTTATTTTTTTAAAAGATTTTATTTATTTATTTGAGAGAGAGAGACCGAGCATGAGCAATGGGGGAGAAGGCAGAGGGAGAGGGAGAAGCAGACTCCCCAATGAGCAGGGAGCCCGACGCGGGGCTGGAGCCCGACGCGGGGCTGGAGCCCGACGCGGGGCTGGAGCCCGACGCGGGGCTGGAGCCCGACGCGGGGCTGGAGCCCGACGCGGGGCTGGAGCCCGACGCGGGGCTGGAGCCCGACGCGGGGCTGGAGCCCGACGCGGGGCTGGAGCCCGACGCGGGGCTCGATCCCAGGACCCTGAGATCATGACCTGAGCCGAAGGCAGACGCTTAGCCGGGTGAGCCACACAGGCACCCTGCCATTGTTATTTTTTTTAAAGATTTTATTGTTGAGTAATTTCTACACCCAACGTAGGGCTCGAACTCAACAACTGCGAGATCAAGAGTTGCTCGCTCCTCCGACTGGGCCAGCCACCCCCACTCCCGACCCTGCCTCCCTGTTGTTATTAATAAATATCTTAGAGAAGACACCTTGAGACTATGCGTCTATCCTGTTTTTCTTCAATCTTTTGCCCACTGATTTTAGCATCCATCAGTACATCTTGCCTGTGACAGTTACTATTGTGTTGTTTATATTTCTCTCATTCCTTCTACATTTATTAATTGGAATTCTTCTGTAAGAAAGAGCTGTCCCGGGGCGCCTGGGTGGCTCATTCGGTTAAGCGTCTGCCTTCGGCTCAGGTCATGATCTCAGGGTCCTGGGATCCCTGCTCAGCGGGGAGCCTGCTTCTCCCTCTCCCTCTGCCTCTCTCGCCGGCTTGTACTCTCTCTCTCTATCTCAAATAAGTAAATAAGATCTTAAAAAAACAAAACAAAACAAAAAAACAAAGAATGGATTTGGGGGCAAATGGAGCATAACCTTCACAAGTTAACATTTCCTCCAAGAATCCTTTCCCGACCCCACGTCTGGCTAGGTGCCCCCAGCCTCCTGCCAGAGCACTGTTATGCCGTATTGCTTGTTCCCTTGTGGGTTTCTCTCCTAAAGAGTCAGCCCCATGAGAAGAGGGGCTGCATCTCATTCACCTTGTTACTTCTGCTCAGGGATGGCCCACCCACAGGAAGTGCTCAATATGTATTGTGAGAAGAGATGAGATCAGGGCGATGTGGGCCAGAGAGCTGGAATAGTCACAGGGACTGTCTATTCCTGAATTTGGCCACCCTCCAGCCCTTCAGGGGCTGAGCACACCATGCAGTCTTCACACCTCTGTGCCTTTTATATGCTGTCCCCTCTCCTTGGAATACCAACTGTGACAAGTGGTAAGTGAAATTAGATAGGCAAAATGTCGATAATTGTTGAAACTGAGCAATGAGAATATAGGGGCTTAGTACACTGGTCTCTCTATAGTTCTGTATGCTTGAGAATTCCCAGAAAAATAGAGTTTCAGAACAGTATTTCTGGGGCACACGGTGTGTGCCAGACCCTTTGCTCACAGATCCTGGGGACACAGTGGTGAAGCAGCCAGACAGATGATACAAATAGGAAGAGACAGCCCCTCCTCCCACTGGAAAACTCCCCACTGTCCCTTGCCCTATCCAGGCCAGGCTTAGGAGGTCTGTCCCTGAAGCATCCCATCTGTCTCCTCCAGGACTCCAACCCAGCACAGAACGGACAGAGTCTTCTTCCTCCTTGCTGAGGACTAAACTGTGCCCTCCCCCAATTCCTATGTTGAAGCCCTAACCCCCCCAGTGTGATGGTATATGGAGATGGGGTCTTTGAAATGTAATTAGGTTTCAATGAGGTCATGAGAGTGGGGCCCTCATGATGGGATTAATATTCCTATAAGAAGAGACACCAGAGGTGCGCCTGGGTGGCTCAGTCGGTAGACCATGCAACTCTTGATCTCAGGGTTGTGAGTTCAAGCCCCACATTGGGCATAGAAGCTTACTTTTTTTTTTTTTTTTAAGATTTTTAAAAATTTATTTGAGAGAGAGAGTGAGGGACAGAGAGAGAAGGAGCAGGACGAGGGCAGAGGGAGAGGGAGAAGCAGACTTGCCACTGAGCAGACAGCCCGATGTGGAGCTCCATCCCAGAGCCCTGAGATCACGACCTGAGCCAAAGGCAGCCGCTTCACCAACTGAGCCACCCAGGCGTAGAAGTTTACTTAAAAAAGATAAATTTTTTATTTGATGCTCTTGATTTCAGCTAGGTCTTGATCTCAGGATCATGAGATCGAGCCCCGCATCGGGCGCCCGTGCTCAGTACAGAGTCTGCTTGAGATTCTCTCTCTTCCTCTGCCCCTCCCCCTGCTCCCACTCTCTCTCTAAATAAATAAATAAAATCTTAAAAAAACATAAATACAAAATAAAAACAAAACTATGCCCTATAGTTAAAAAAAAAAGAAGAAGAAGAAGAAGAGACACCAGGGGCGCCTGGGTGGCTCAGTTGGTTAGGCGACTGCCTTCGGCTCAGGTCATGATCCTGGAGTCCCGGGATCGAATCCCGCATCGGGCTCCCTGCTCAGCGGGGAGTCTGCTTCTCCCTCTGACCCTCCTCCCTCTCATGCTCTCTGTCTCTCATTCTCTCTCTTGCAAATAAATAAATAAAATCTTTAAAAAAAAAAGGAAGAAGAGACACCAGAGAGCTCCCTCTCTCTCCATCACGTGAGGACATGGTGAGAAGGCTGCGAGCCGGGAAGAGGGCTCTCACCACAGCCTGACGGTGCTGGCACCCTGATCTCCAATTTCCAGCCTCCAGAACTGTGAGGGTATTTCTGTTGTAGAAGCCACAGTCTGTGGTATTTTGTAGTGGCGGCCCCTGCTGACTGGGAACTTCCCTTGAGGTGACAACTGCCCCCACCGCCCCAGTTCTAGGGGTAGGGTTCGTCACCCTTGGCCTCAGAGCTGCTGGAGGGTCAAGGGTTCTGAGCCATGGTAACGGCTCCAGATTCAGGGGTCTTGGGGAGGGGGGAAGATGTATGAGCTCCTTTAGAGCTTTGTATGCATCTACCCAAAGTGAACAGATGCATTCCCTGACCCAGCACTCCCACTCCTGGGTAGATCCCCAATAGAAATGCAAATATACATTTACCCCAGGACAAAAATGTTCATGGCAGCATTCCTTTTAGTAACCCTAAACCGGAAACTGCCCCAATGCTTGTCACTGACACGGAACAGAGAAATAAATGGTGTCTTCAGACAGTGGAATACCATACAGCAACGAGAATGAACGAGCTCTTGAGACAACGCAGGTGAATCTCATAATGTTGACCGAAAAAGGCAAACAAACATGCCTCCGCACTGTCCGATTCCATTTATAGGAAGTTCAAAAACAGGCAAAATGAATCCGTGATATTAGAAATCAGGAGGGTGGTTATGCTCCACTAAAAGTTTTTATTTTTATTTATTTTTAAAATTTTATTTTATTTTTTATGTTCTAAAGGTGATTTAATATTTATTTTTTATTAAGTAATTTTTATGCCAAATGTGGGGCTCGAACTCACGACCCCAAGATGAAGAGTCGCGCGCTCCACAGATGGAGCTGGCCAGGTGCCCTGTCACTAAAAGTTTTTAAATCCATGCTGACAAATGGTTTACAGGGTATGAAGTGCCCATGCCCATCTGTTACCTCATTCTTTGCTCTTTTTCATGCCCACAGTACTTTATTGATCTATTATTTAGATACAGCCAAATGCATAAATCTTAAGTGACCAGCTCAATGAATTTTGCCCCATGTATACACCTGGGTAACCCACACCTAGATCAAGCTGCAGAACATTCCGGCACTCCTGAGGCTCCCTCACATTATCTCCTTTTATCTTCATGACCATCTCAGGACAGCAGAGCTGTTATTTGTCCCCATCACCACCGAGAAACAGCC